GGAAAGGTTTCATGGGTTATAGGCCGTTTCTCTTGGTTTTTCCTTCTTTCTTGTACCACTACCCAACACCAACTTAATTTGAAATGGGTTGCCTTTTCATCGTAAATTCTGCGTTTGAGCGTTGGGAATCTTCTACCTGCCCCCAGGATCCATCCTATTGGTCCTCTAAATAAATCCAAGAATGGGTAAAATTTTCGCCTAAGACATTTTCCTCAACCTAATACTACAAATCCGAGAAAAAGAACATTGACATCTTCAATAAGTGCGAAACTACGCACGCCTTCTACGCTGCCTCTTCTTCCTCCTTTCAGGACATTCACAGTAACCGCCATCATCGCCAGGATTTCCCGCAGGACCATGCTGAAGAAAGATGTTTGTTAGAGCCCATAGATTATTCATGAAATTTTGGAACACTCCTGTAAATCATGGCTGAGATATGCCAAAGTGCTTCCGCTAACTCTACCTGCCCGTTTTCACCGGGCATTCCAGGTGTTCCATCCAAGCCAGCGTTTCCTTGGATACCATCTTGACCGAGCTCTCCCTGCTCACCCATTGCACCAGGTCTACCGGGCATTCCCGGTTTACCTTGTCGCCCTTGTCTCCCAGGAGGACCTGGGATGCCGATGCCTGTGAAACAATCTCGTCCTGGTGCACCATCCATGCCACTCTAAAACACCCCAAAATACATTTGCTCGAAGCCATTGCTCAATGAACAACATCTACAAAACGTTACCTGCCCACTCCTTCCAGGTTCTCCCGGATACCCTGGATCACCACGTTCACCTCGTTCTCCATCAGCGCCAGCTGCTCCTCTTTTGCCTGGCTGTCCAGGTCGCCCAGCAGGTCCTGGCGAACCCGAAACTCCGGGGAAACCTGGTGGTCCAGGAGGACATTTTATCAGAACTAGAATGAAAAACTATAAACAAACCAATAGCAGCAACGAATAAGTTGTCTTGACTTACTTTGTGGCATAGCAGCCGGCGGCCTAACAATTTTGAAGCCCGGCAAGACCAGGCGGCCCTATAGCACCATCTTCACCAACGATACCAGGCTTACCAGGTATACCAGGTGGACCGGGTGGACCTGGTGGGCAGTTACGACGTGGTGGGCCACAGTCTTCAAAATGACACGATTATTTGCTAATCGAGAAGTTGCTTCAAAAATTCTTCTAATAAGACTACAAAGTTTTTTGATTTCATGGGCATCGTTTGAGTCAACCTTTATAAGGGTTCCGGACCTCTACAAAAAAAGAGTCACTTTGCCCATGGCGCACATCATCAAATTTTTCGTCGCACAGGATGCCGTTGTTAATGAATGTTTTACGGCAGAATATTCCTTAGGTGTCCCCCAAAAGCAGAAGCAGGCCCTCCTTCACTGCCCCCACCGTCTTCAGAATATGACGTCATCTGCCGTCACCGTCGAGCTCAACGAGGCTTACCGTAATCGCTCCGGCCTGAAGCTGCTACATAATTTCTTCAATCGATTAACTGGTGAATAGCTTCTAGAGACACTAGCTGTGACTGCAAGACCGCTTTTGACCAGCGTTTCAGGGACGTCGTAATGGTCTATGGTACCTCGACGACCTCGTTGAGCTCGTACCGTGAACCATGTTTCCGTGGGAAAATCTTCTGATGTCGTCGGTGTAGAAGGCTGTTATGTAACTTTTTGATAGATTAGAATGTGCTCTTTAATATACAGTTGAGCTCATTTGGTTTGGTTTTGCAACGTGTATTTAAATCCGTTTTGAACGTGGAGGAAGGAAGTAAGCAAACCAGCCCTTTTGGCGTTTCTGCTGGGGCCGTATGCTGAATGTTGGGGAGGGGATGGGTCCCCGACGGTCGACGGACTACTTCAACTCGGTCCTTAAAACCGCCTCAATTTGATGCTTACCTCAGGACTAAGCCTTAAAGAGAGGACGGACCTGCGCTCTCTCTCCAAGGCTTAGTCCTGGGTAAGCAAACCAGCCCTTTTGGCGGAGCTGCTGGACCTAGCTGCACCACTTCGTCATCACTCTCTACCGTACCGACCGAGTTCAAGTAGTCCGTCAACCTCAGGGACCCAATCCCCTCCCCAACATTCAGCATACGGCTCCAGCAGAAACGCCAAAGAGCTGGTTTGCTTACCTCAGAGCGACGCCGCGTTTTTTGCCACCTCCCCCCCTATGTTATCATACTATTATATAAACCAGAGTTTGTTTGTCTGACCGCTCCCCCAAAAATTCGCAAGTGTCCCCCACATGTTTATAATTTCTTCCTTCAAAAATCACCTAGGGAGGGCGGGTCAAGTTTGAAATGGGTAGAGTATGAGTCGCTCTTTAAGGGAAATATATTGGCCATGCTGAACTCCGCCTCCAGTGGGCGGGGCGTGCGTCGAAATTACAAAATTTGGTGAAAAAATTGCAGTTTTTGGCTTCAGAACAGTCTAAAGTCAGGGAAAAATAGGGCCTTAATAGGGTACTACCGCTCTACAACGGGAATATATTGGCCATGCTAAACTCCACCCCAAGTGGGCGGGGCGTGCGTCAAAAATCGAAATTTCGTTGAAAAATTGCAGTTTTTGGCTTCGGAACAGTCTAAAGACAGGGAAAAAATAAGGCCTTAATAGGGTATTTACCGCTCTACAACTGGAATATATATGGCCATGCTAAACTCCGCCTCCTGTGGGCGGGGCGTGCGCTTAAAGTAAAATTTTTCGTGAAAAAATAGGCGTTTTTCGTCCAAAAACATCCAAAAAACCAGGTAATGGGGGTTGAATAGACCATAGATCACCCCCCTATCATACTATTATATAAACCAGAGTTTGTTTGTCTGACCGCTCCCCAAAAATTCGCAAGTGTCCCCCACATGTTTATAATTCTTCCTTCAAAAATCACCTAGGGAGGGCGGGTCAAGTTTGAAATGGGTAGAGTATGAGTCGCTCTTTAAGGAAATATATTGGTCATGCTGAACTCCGCCTCCAGTGGGCGGGGCGTGCGTCGAAATTACAAAATTTGGTGAAAAAATTGAAGTTTTTGGCTTCAGAACAGTCTAAAGTAAGGGAAAAAGTAGGGCCTTAATAGGGTACTCACCGCTCTACAACGGGAATATATTGGCCATGCTAAACTCCACCCCAAGTGGGCGGGGCGTGCGTCAAAAATCGAAATTTCGTTGAAAAATTGCAGTTTTTGGCTTCGGAACAGTCTAAAGACAGGGAAAAAATAGGGCCTTAATAGGGTATTTACCGCTCTACAACTGGAATATATTGGCCATGCTAAACTCCGCCTCCTGTGGGCGGGGCGTGCGCTTAAAGTAAAATTTTTCGTGAAAAAATAGGCGTTTTTCGTCCAAAAACATCCAAAAAACCAGGTAATGGGGGTTGAATAGACCATAGATCACCCCCCTATCATACTATTATATAAACCAGAGTTTGTTTGTCTGACCGCTCCCCAAAAATTCGCAAGTGTCCCCCACATGTTTATAATTCTTCCTTCAAAAATCACCTAGGGAGGGCGGGTCAAGTTTGAAATGGGTAGAGTATGAGTCGCTCTTTAAGGGAAATATATTGGCCATGCTGAACTCCGCCTCCAGTGGGCGGGGCGTGCGTCGAAATTAAAAATTTGGTGAAAAATTGCAGTTTTGGCTTTATAC